ATTTGATAGACGTATAGAATTTCTGTATTTTGTCTTATCTAAAATATTTTTGTCACAGCATCGTCCAAACTAAGGCATAAGCCTGTATGTGAAATGCGTTGCTAGTGTTAAGTTTGTGAACTCGAAGGTTAACCTTAAGCAAGTATTTCAACAGTGCGATTGATTTGTAATATATGCATATTTGTAATTTTTTTTACTTACTTATTCTACATTTTTCTTTTTTTCTTCAAATCTATCGAAGTGCTTACTGTATTGATTATGCTTTCCTGCCTTACAGTGTTCCGTAATTAATATTTCGTAAAATATTCCTTCAAATATGTTGTATAGTGTATGTTTCAAGTACAAAAAATTTTTCACCTATAAAACTGTAAGAATTGCATAATAGTTGCAATGTAAATTTGAAATAAAAAGCAATATGTTAAATCAAGCTGGTCAAAATTTCGTCAAATATTCCTGCAAATGTGTTGTATAATGGATATTTCAAGTATAAGCAATTACTGGATAAGTGAACTTGTAGGATATTGATTGATAGCTCCTGATGAAGCTCTAAAAGCGAAGTATTGAGCTAATAAAGATACATTCTAGAGACATAGGTCGGATTTTATTTACGTTTATTAAAAATATGGTTTGTTCTTGGCTCAGTTTCCATATATTAAATACGAATATTTTATAGGTCATAATGGGTCAGAGGTCAAGTTATCGAAAACTGTTAGTATTTGTTTTTTGAAACACGCCACACTATTTAACCAGTTTATTAACGATAGTCATCAAACTTATGCGTGTAATAAGGGTTTCACTGTTTTGTTGAAAGAAACAATGATTTGTTGGTGTATACAGTGTATGCGTAGGTAAACATCTCGTGGCATTTTGAATTCCTGAAATAATATATTTATGTCAGAAGAATACACGACCCTTCTTAGTGCGAAACATTTTGTCGTTTGCCCGTATAAATAAATACAAGAAAATACATTGTTTCTTTAATAACAGTAAATGACAGCCATTTTGCCCGGGAAAATAAGCAAAATCTGCCATGTCGTGAGACACACAAAATACATTTATTTTTTTACAGGCTAAAGAAAATGGGATGAGAATGAAAATTAACTCATGTTCTTAATTTCTCCGAAAAGGGGCCGAAGGCCATCTAAAGAGTCACCTGTTTTAACCATTCGCATCACAATACAGTAGTATGTTGTCTGTCAGTCAGTCAGTAGACACTAAAATGACGTCACACCAGGGACGCTTAACTCTGTTGGCTACAACACACAGCATAGCACACGAACTTCAAAAGCAAGAAATAAAAATATTTGTTACTCTTAATTTTGATTTTATTTACTCTTGAAACAAAACCCTTACGGGGACCTTGCAGAAGTACATCCAGTATTTTCTCTTAATTTTTTAACACCTGGTACCAATATGACGAACGTGAAAATGAAATAAAGACTTTTGTTGTCATTGTTCGCCTAATGAACGTTTTTTAAATATATATTTTTGCACTCTACACAGGTGTAGTTTTTCTCCAATATCGAAAAGAAACCAAACGTTCTCTTCTCCCAAATGAGCTGACAACACTTGATACGATTAAGGCCTTATTTGTTCGATCGTTTCCTAAACAGCTGACTATGGAGTACCTGGATTCTCCACACGTTAGGATTTACACTCATGATGCCTCGAAAAACATGTTTTATGAACTGGAAGACTTAAGGTAAGTTAAGCTCAACTTAATAAAGGAAAACATACTTCTAAATCTCCTTGGAAATATCACATCTATTAGTCTAGTACATAAATCAGAAATTGTGACGGGTGGAGGTATTTCTGGGTAAAAGTTGGGTAACCATGTTTTTTTTTAAGTTAACTTGGATGTTCTGGATCCTTCTGGGGGAACAAATTGTCGTTTAAAAAAATATATACAATAGTCTTTTTTTCGTTCCATAATTTAAGTCATTCGGTAAGTTAGCGGTAAGTTCTTCGAACTTATAACGCTGAAGTCCGGGGTTCGATTCCTTACGTTATACAGAGTGCAAATAGCCCACTGTTTAGCTTTGTACTAAAAATAGCAATCATAATTTTAAGGAATCGATCTGTAAATTAAAATATATATATGTAAATATCTTGTTTCATAAAACCTGGTAAATGAGTGTTAGTTGCTAAAATTTTTTACCGTTTTAAGTATTTGAAACACTAATTTGCAATTTTTACTAATTATTAATTTAATTTGGACCTGCTGTTGAATTTATTAGGTAAAAGATGCAAATTCTTGATGTTATATAAGTTTACATCTGGTTTGAATTCATCTTACCAAACTTCTACTCCTTAAGAGAAAGGCTTCAAAAATAAAAGTAGTCTGAACTCTTTCTCATTTCCAAGTTCATTTATCCACATCACTGTATTACACAAATATATTACTGCTAAAAAACACTTAGTACATTATTTAACTGTAGCTTACATACCGTACTTATTCAGACAGCCAACTTTAGAGTCAGATTTCTGACATCTACACGCTCCCGTACAAACTACTGTCTTGCATTTACAGCACAATGTTCAACAACCTTAGGTACACTGACAGGTGATGATCTCCAAACAATTATCTATAAAAATATGCTAATATTTAGTAGGTTTATTTTATCTTTATTCCGTTAAAAATGAGGAGATTCAACCCTCTTGTTTACACATTTAGCTCTTATTTCTAGTTCATATCTACATGTGAGAATACCAGTATTACAATATTTCCTTGTATTATATCTAAACCCAGTATGCAATTTACGCTATTGTAAACTGATATGTGTAGCTTGCCTAAATTTCTGTAATAGTATGCATATAAAGTAATCATGTTCAGCCTAATTCCCGCTCTCTGATATAATTACTGAAACTTGTCGTTGGTTACCAGTTGTGCATTGTGCAACCATGTGGACATGGACTGGCTACAATGTAGCTCCAACATATAGAAATGCTTAGTGTTTTATTATTTGTTCATTATGCACACTCGAAACATCTCGTTCACACACACACACACATATAATCAATTAATTATTATTTAGAATTAAGAATTAAACTGGTTTTTGTATTGAACTTTTGAATAATCTAAATTCAAACATTCAATTTACTGTTGAAAAGGCTTATGAAACTATACATTTGTTTTATATATTGATTTAAGTATTTGACATTGGCTCTTTATAAACCGACCCAATGTCTACGTTTATTTCGATTTTAGAAGTAACCTTTCTAGACAGGTTAAAATAAATATTTCATATACGTTAGCAAAAACAATTGTACAGATTGTGTGCAATAAAGAACAAAAGAAGTATTAGATTAAATGTATTTAAAATGTTTTTATTAAATAGCAATTATCCAGCGGGTGTAATTGACAATTGCATATTTCGCGCCAAATTATATGACTCTAAAGTTAATAACACAGGCCTGCGATGGTTTTATTGTCTTGAAATTTTTATCTCGGGTCACATTTTGTTATGTTTAAAATGTTGACAACCACTGGCTATAGATTTCTCTTCACCAATCGCGACGTGAGAGTATTATCGATCGTTCTAGAACCCACGAGAAACACACCGCTAACATATAAACGGTTAATTAGCCGCATGACGTGTCATTTCTGGATAGTATTTGTTTGTGCTTGCACTTTGACATTATTTTTCTTCTTTTCAATATTATTTATTCGTCGTTATGGCAACAAGAGGTTGTGTGAATAACCCAACATTATTCTGTTATATTTGTTGTAAATTTGACCTAAGTAAGAGTTTTTCTTCCCGGTTTGTAAAACATCCTTACGTGATAGAAAATAAATGAATATTATTTTCAAAATCTGCGTAGCTGAATTATGGAAAGTCCATTATCAAAACCAAAACAACTTTTATGGAGTTTAAATTTGTAGACCTGTGTAATCATTCAGAAGTTTTACCAGTCCTTACTATGTGATCCCCAGGGTTACAAGTTAAAATTCAAGAATGCAAGACTTTGATTGCCTCCTGTAGCTCTAGCACTATAAAAATAAGCTTAAGTAATATCAATGTTATTGTAGCTTACAGACAATCTGAACAGCTACGTTGTTATAAATAGAATACTGACAATAGACAAATACATGTTACTCAGTGTCAGCTATTATGTTTAAAATCCAAAGATCTTTTTCGTGCAGCTTTAAAAACTGTATTTACATGTTAAAATGTACAATATGTGGTGACAATTACGTTGGTCATACAGAAAAGTTAAGATTTAAAATTAATCACATAACATTTACGTTATAAATATCAGTTAGAGCCCTTAATGCTTGAAAATTTTTACAATTTTATTTTATGCACCCAAAACCTATTAGAACTTTCTAATTTCCCATTTTGGTTTTGTGACAATGAAAAAAAAAATCAGTTTATGGAAGTTATCTTATGAAAATAGTTGATAGAACTTTCAATCTCATTAACCAAGTTGTGTATTTTTTTTACGTTTTATAATTGTATTTGAGTATTTACAAGTTTAATTTTTTATGAATGTTATATTGATTTTTGAGAATGTTTTTACCGTGATGTTTATGTTTATATATATATATATATATATGTGTATGTATGTATATATAGTTCGACCTTGTTAAAGATTATATGTAATTCATGTATTGTGTATTATTTCAAAACAGACAAATGTACCCGTCCCCAGTGACGGGAAAAGTTTAAGTTAATCTATCAATTTAAATTGTTTCATGGACCTTATAAAGGTTAACTGTGTTGCACTCTTGGTTTCACTCAGAGCCAAAGCTTTGAACTACTTATGTCGCTCACTGCAAAAAGTAATTGTTGAGCATTTCAGTCATGCTAAGAGCTACTCAACAATAACATACGATAAATCTACATTTTAATTATTTAAGTTACGTCACATTTTGAAATGTGAATGATAGTGTGATTAATCTCTAACAGTTTAGAGTAGAATATCCTACTTACGAAATAAAATTTCGCATCAACATTATTCATGCCTGTTCTTCCGTCATTTCAAAAGTGAATGTTGAGCTTTGTCTACGTGCGCAGCTTTTCAAAAGCAGCGCGGTAAGCGACTTCCGTAAGCGGGAGACAGACAAACGCTCGGACAGACACCACGGTTCGCAATATATACACCTGGAAAAAAGTTAAGCACCCCTGTGTTTTTTCAAGTGATTCAGATTCGACGTTCTTGTGACTGATTATAAATTACCATTCAATC